GTCTCATTCTGGATAAAAATACTTCACCAAATCTTTCAGGAGAAAGTTAAATGTTTGAGGGGAAATTATTGATCTTTTTCATGTTCTTGTGAAAAAGTCTATTTTGGACTAAAATGCTGTGGTCTTAAGAGGCTACTCCAGTCACAAAGAAACATTAAACCTATATACACTTCTGCAAGTTATGCTAGTGGCTATCTGAATTAGACATCTGTCTTCTTTTCCAGTGTTAATGAGCTATTTATAATCTTGATTATACCGATTTTCTTTTCATGCAGATAAAGCACCACAAGATAAAGGGATGGATGGATGGATGGATGGATGGATGGATGGATGGATGAGTGGATGGTTCTTATAAGTCTTGTCTCAGTTACAGCATAGGTCATATAGCCCTGAAGTCGTTGAAAAAATGTGTAAAATAAGGAATAGAAACTTTACTGCAATGCAAAATGTGTGTGATAATTGAAGAGGTCGGTGAAAAAAGGGTACCTTTTTCAGGTAGTCAGTAAAAAAAAGGGTGTGTTTTCAAGGCTATGTCAGTGAAAAGGGTATAGTTTTCACAAAGTCCTTGGTAAGTGTTTAGGGGTGGGGTTCAGAAAGTCATGTATGAGGATGGCGCTATTTAGTTAATATAGAGTTCCCCCCCCCCGGGGCAGATGACGCACAATTACGTGGCTGTTCAGCGTTCGTTTTCACACACATTTTTCATTGACCCTTGAGACAAACTGTGCCAAACTCCTGGGAAACACCTCCTGCTGCAGTATAGGTCACAACAGGGGGTTTCTTCCCGCAGGGAAAAAAATGTGGAAAAAAAAAATTGGAGACCCATCACCCAACATTATTTGTGCACAAATCTGTTGCAATTAAACCCTAACTTATTAGTGTGAAATACAATATAATATGAATGGATAATCACAAAAAGCACAATTATGTAAATTCAGTGTTTTTTGTAATAGTTTCATGTGAATTGAAGACAAAGTTTTTTGAGCAAAACAAGCTTCTTCCAATGGTTTAAGTTTAAAATTAAATGTTGCAAAAAGTAGCTCTTGGACAATTTCATTTTGTGAAAGTAGCTCTTAAGGAGAAAAAGGTTGGAGACCCCTGCCTTATAGGGATCCCCTATTAGTTGTAACATTAGACTTTATTTGATAAACATATATTTTAACTGTAAAATAAAGACTGTAAAAATACTGTAGGCTGTTTAGTTTTTATAATTTTTAAACTAAAAGTTAAAAATATATTGTGACTGTTTCCAAGGTATCTCCTTTTATTTACTTTTTTAGTTTACTTTTATTTTGTAGGGGTGCCAGCCAGGTATCCCTCCTGGCAATTTAGGATTTTAGAATTAACCTTGTATATATATTTTATACTACCCGACACACAAGGACCAGACACTATGTAATGCAGACCCTTAATGAATGACTACAGACAGATATATGTACATATACACACAATGGGCCTCATGCAAGAACCGTTCGTATGCACAGATTTGTTCTTAAATTGTGTGTACGAGTGATTTAGGAGAATTTGTGG